CAAGGTGTATGCACAGCCACAGGGTAACCAACACATCTCCTCCCAAGACCCACCCAGAGCTGAGACTGTACAGTACGGGAAGAATATCTGGGAGAAAGATGTATCTTTTAACACTGAGACCCTGTGGCTACTAGACCTGAAGACAGATCGCTGCTTGCTGCCAGAACAGGATCCAGTCACCATCACAGTCGAAGATATCCAACAGTGAGTAGCACATATAAAGAGTTAGTCAGGGCCAGGACCTGACATGATCCACACCTCGGTATTAATAAAAGTACTCGTGGTATGCAGTGAGTAGGGGCATGTCGCATAAACAGCAAGCAGCCAGTGGATTGATTCCTGGGGTGTAGGGAGAAGGAAGGACAGTGAGTGCAGTCAGGTTTGGGCTCGGGTGGGAGAGGTCTCAGGGGCTAGTCCGGTGAGGGTTTCTGGGGCCGGAGGCAGCACAGTTGGGGACGGGGGTTCGACCCCCACAGTAGAGGCGCCCGGGTTGGCGAGTGAGAGGGAGAGCTTATTGGGGGTGTCCCGGAGGCAGAACGTTCATGTTTGTTTCACAGGCCCACTGGGCTGTCATCTCAAAATGGAGGTTAAGGAGAGGATATGGAAAGGGGAGTTTGTGGAAATCTTTTTGCTTCTCCCCCTTGAGGACTACATTGACCTCAAGGAGGAGGATAAAAAGGATGCCAAAAAGGAGGAGGAGGAAAAGAAGCGGAGGTATAGGAAGATACCTAAGACGTTTGGGAACTGGCTGAGGGCATTTTGCATCTTGGCCAGTGTGATGGGCGAAAAGGCGGAAAAGCGCTGTTCGCAGCTCTTGTTACCTGGATGGTATTTGGGAGGCTTATCGGACATACGGGGGTCTGGCCTGGTGGCGGTATGACGAGCAGTTTCATCAGCTTCTGGCTGCTAATTCGGGGATGCGGTGGGACCAGATGGACCTACCCCTTTGGATAAAACTTATGATGGCGCAGAAGGCGTCCCCCTTTCAGACAAGGGCCGGCACGGGCGGGTCTACCACAGTGTTTGCCAACCAAAAACGGGGCTACTGCTGGCTGTATAATGAGGGACAGTGCAAGTGGGGGACCACTTGTCGATTCAAGCACGAGTGCTCCGGGTGTGGAGGCACCCACGGACTTCACAGGTGTTTCAAAAAAGGGAAGTCAGCCTCCGCAGCAGGGGTGCCTGGAGGTTCGGCAGGGTCCCCTGCCTCTGGGGGCCACACCAGTAAAGGTCGGCGCGATGCGGTCGTGGCTAAGCCACTACGCTAACAGGGAAGATGTGGCGTTGCTAGAGGAGGGGTTCACCAACGGGTTCGTTATCCAATGATCTACTCGCTGCAACATTTTGTGGTCACTACTCTATCTTAATTCTCCTTGACCTGTCTGCGGCTTTTGACACTGTTGATCATCAACAGCTTCTTCTCATCCTCCGCAATATCGGTCTACAAGAAATTGCTCTCTCCTACCTCTCCCATTGCTCTTTCAGTGTTTCTTTCTCTGGCTCTGCTTCTTCTCCCCAACTCCTCTCTGTTTGTGTCCCCCAAGGTTCAGTCCTTGGTCCCCTACTGTTCTCCATCTATACTGCCTCCCTTGGTAAACTCCCTTTGGCTTCCAATATCATTTCTATGCAGATGACACGCAAATCTACCTGTCCTCTCCTGATCTCTCACCATCCCTGTTGATTAGTGTCTCTGACTGCCTCTCTGCTGTTTCTAATTGGATGGCTGCCCACTTCCTTAAACTAAACTTGACCAAAACTGAAATTCTGGTCTTTCCTCCCTCAAGTGTTGTTACTCCTGTGTCTTCCTCCCTCCAAGTCAACGGTGCTACCATCAGCTCCGCCATGCAGGCTCGCTGCCTAGGTGTTCTCTTTGACTCCGACCTCTCATTCAAGCCTCATGTTCAATCTATCACCAAATCCTGTCATTTCCATCTCAAAAACATTGCGCGCATCCGCCCCTACTTAACGCCAGATGCGACTACGGTGTTGGTCCATTCCACTGTCCTTTCTTGCCTTGACTACTGTTATCCGCTTCTCAGTGGTCTTACGTGTTCCCAACTTGCGCTGTTACAGTCCATAATGAATGCTGCGGCGAGGCTCATCTTCCTGTCCGCCCGCACCTCCCATGTCTCACCCTTCTGTCAGTCCCTTCATTGGCTTCCTATAAAATATAGAGCTCAATTTAAAATTCTGGTTCTTGCTTTTAAATCTCTACATAATGCTGCTCCCACCTATCTATCCTTCCTTATACAAAAGTATGCCCCGTCTAGGCCCTAACGATCTGCCGAAGACATACGTCTATCTTCTGTCCGTACTCCCACCTCTGATGCTCGCCTTCAAGATTTCTCGAGGGCTGCAGAGTTCCTGTGGAACTCGCTTCCCTCCTTCGTTAGATGCTCACCCAGTCTCCACTCCTTCAAAAAATCGTTAAAAACCCACTTCTTCATAAAAGCGTATCAATTAAACTGTTAATAGCTCCTGACTGATTCCTCTTCTGCAGCTGTCACTAGTCTAATACTATCCTTACCTTTTTGTGTCATTTTACCCCACTCCCTCTAGCATGTAAGCTCATTGAGCAGGGCCCTCAACCCCTCTGTTCCTGTGTGTCCAAGTTGTCTGGTTACAACTACATGTCTGTTCGTCCACCTATTGTAAAGCGCTGCAGAATTTGACGGCGCTCTATAAATATAATAATCATAAAAATAATAATAATAGCGTCTCATCCCTAGTTAAGTGTCCAAAACCCGGGCATCCCGGAATATAGAAACCGATACAAGAAATAGTCTAACTACATTAGAAGTGGAATAGCAGTAGAATAGGTGCAGAGAGCATAGATTATACCGGTAAGAGAATTTGACCTGAAGGTGATTTAGGTTAAAGAACCGAGACTTAGTAGTATGAGTATATGAATATACCAGGAGAGCATTAGAGGTGTAAATGAGTGAAAACCTTCCTGCAGAAATCACGTTTATTTAAGTGAACCATATCAGGAGACTGATGAGTCCTGTAAGTGATAGTGAAATTGAGGCCCCAAACGAATGAGGGGGACCAATACGGGAAGGACAATTCCTAGCGTTGGGAAATATATACATCATATAAGAGAACAATGTTACATGACATTAAAGCATAAACCAGGGGTGAGGTAGTATAGAATTGAGTGTTAGTGATTTATGAAACCGACATTTATTTACAGGATAGGCCTACACCAGAAAGAGTGTTTTAGAGGCGTATTTGATAGTAAACTGTATGCAGAATAACAATACTTAAGTTAACCATACATAGAGTATCACCAGATATCTTTACATACATGTAGTTGGGTTACCTATATCCGTAGTATTTTGATAACCAGCTATTTATTTATTAAAGTGACATGTAATTAATGCAGCTATTAACCGTATATTTTGAATGACCGCTATAGGTCAGTATTTTGTTTGTATAACCATAATGCATGGTGCGGACTAGTTTCGGAGGAATTTGAGAACCGTGCAGTTAAATTATACAATTTTTTACACTAAATGCTCTATCCGGACATAGGTCTTTCGTGCTGACTGTTATACGAAAGGGGGAGCGTTCGTTAAAATTAAACAAAAGCTTCCCCCATCCATATAATTTAATGCAAAGTCATGCTAACAGTCATTTGCATGAATGGCTGTAACAAAAAATTTACAAAATTAAAAAGCTTGCCGAACAGATTTAAAATTAAATCGTTCGGGAGTTTGAAACGAAACAACAGTAACATAAAATAGTATATGAAAGGAAGTATGCGAACTATACAAGCAATTGAAATAGACCAAAACCGTGATGACGCTGTGGGACTGTAACTGTGGCGCGTCAGGTCATTATCCTACGGTTTTGGCGTGTTTCCACTTCTGTCTTTTGAGCTGCAGGCCTGGAGGGCTGAAGAGGGGACGATTCTGTATGCAGAGTGCCGTGGCCAGAGGAAGACAGCAGGTTCAGGTAAACCACGTGGAGATACAGGTAAGTTTGCAAGATGGCAGTAGTTACATGCAATCGCTAGACCAAGAACAGTGTGGAGCAAGATAAAGAGTCCCTTTAAGTACGGAAATCATGCCTCTCCCACAATTACAGGCAAAAGCCTAAATGCATATATATATATGTATATATATATATATACACACCCCCATACGTTCACTGTATGTTTTGTAGTAGAGAAGAGATTTTTTTTAGTTTTTTTTTTATAATAGCTACAAATCATTCCATCCCTCTTAAATTCACCATCTGGATTGCCTATGATATGACATGTTGCATTTGAATCATGTCTCCTGTGTATAAACCCTTTTGATCACCGTGAATCAAGTTGGCAGTAAATTATAGAGTGTGAGCACATGTAGGCAGTTTCCGGCTCACCTATTGTTCCCTTATATCATACGGGTTTTGTTATATAACTAATTGTAATTGTCCTTTTTGAAGCAGGAACTGATAGAAGATATAAACTCTGTTTATGTTTTATTATTTATTTAAAAAAACAAAAAAAAAGGAAAAATTCCCAGCATGCCTGTCAAGCAGCCTAACGTGCCTGCCTCAAGCTATAAATTGCCTACAAACTGTCCAGGTGATGGGAAGGATATTTAAGGAAACTGACATGGTAAAGGAGAAAAAAAGGATTACAATTATTTATATAGCACCAGCATGTTCCATCGCGCTGTACAAAAGGGAAAACAAGACAAACAATTCTCACAAAACACGTTTGACATACAGGGACAAAACAGCAGCCCAAACAGCTGACAATCTATTGGGAAGAGGGAAGTGAGGGTATCAGTTGATTTAATTAAATCTCTTATTTACATTTAGCCGTGGAACATTGATGAAGATGAATCTCCAATTACTGTAGTTTGTTTCTGATCTTGTCATAGGTATATCTTCTTAAGAATGCAACAATTCCAGCCATTTCATACTCCCCGCCTACCCTATACATTACTGTATGCATGCCTGGTGGTGAGCTGTCATAGACTCACTACGAGCACAGTCACTTTATGAAGGTGATACGGAACACACTGATTTCTCTCGTACAGATTCCCCCGAATACTGGCAGACACGATGGGTATCGTGTATGTGACATCCCTATTTTACATGCTCATCTCTGGTAAGTTTAAAGCACTGAGTAGCCAAATGTATTGTTAAATCTGTACCAAATAACATCCAACTTCCTAATAAGCATTGAAACCAGACGTTAAAAAACAGAAAATGTAAAGGTTTTTGTTTTAACCAGGAGTAGGTGAAGGAATAGCGAATTTAGGACAAAATCGCTGAAAACATAACTCTGTCACAGAATTTCTAAATTTTGCTATTTTGACCTAACAATTGAAACTGGCTCTGTCACCTTCTGGGGGTCTGTGTATATTTTACAAAGACCCCCGACGGCGACATCGCTGCTTGGTGTGTGGTGGCTCAGTGGCGTACTAAGGGATGGGCGGGAGGGGGGGTTGGGATGGTCCGACCCGGGTGCCACCAGGTAGTTAGGGTGCCGGGCGGCCGGCACAGCTCACACATACAGAGACCAGCTGAACTGGAAGAAAGTGGGGGCAGATCTACTAAAATTTATGTAACTGTGTGTATGTGTGTGTAACTGTCTGCCTGTAACTCTGTGTGTGTCTGTCTGTAACTGTGTGTATGTGTGTAATAGTCTCCCTGTGATTGTCTGCCTGTGACTGTGTGATGCTGCCTGTACATGTGTGTGTGAGACTGTGTGCTTGTGACTGTGTGTGACTGTCTGCCTGTAACTGACTGTGTGTGTGTGTGTGTGTGTAACTGTCTGCCTATAACTGTGTGTGACTGTCTGACTATAACTGTGTGTGACTATGTGTGTGGGACTGTCTGCCTGTGACTGTGTGATGTTGCATGTAACTGTGTGTGTGACTGTGTCTGTGTAAGAATGACTGTATGTGTGGCTGTCTGCCTGTAACTGTGTGCATGACTGTCTGGCAACAACAGTGTGTGACTGCTTGTAACTGACTGTGTGTGTGTGTGTGTGTGTAACTATCTGCCTGTAACTGTGTGTATGACTGCCTGTGACTGTATGTGTGACTGTCTGGATGTAACTGTGTGTGACTCTGCCTGTAACTGTGTGTATGACTGTATGTGTGACTGTCTGCATGTGACTGTGTGTAAGGGCGAACAGGGATTTTGTAGAAGGGGGTAGGGTTTTTGTATTGGGACAGGGGTCTTAGCAGGGGATTTGTAGAAGGTGAGTGCAGGGGTTTGTAGAAGGGGCTATGCAGGTTTTTTTTTTAGGAAAGGGTCTGTGCAGGGGCAGAAGGGGGCTGACAGGGGTTTTACAAAGTTTACAAATTTATGCAATACATTTAAAAAAAAAAGAACACCTTTTACAAATTTTGCAGGTGTTTTTAAAATAAAAATAAAATTTGGGCGGAGAGAAAGGGGTGCCAAACACAGGATCTGCCCCGGGTGCCACATGTCTAGGTACTCCCCTGCCCAGGGGTGCAGGGGGAGTTAGGTTTTACTTACCTTTAGCTGTTCCTCGCAGCCGCTGCCATCTCTATTCAGGGATCCTCTTCAGGTCCTAGGGCTTCAGGTGCCAGTAGCCCACGTCAGTGCTGTATTCTTACCTATAAACAAGAGTACAACAGTAATGTCTATGGAGGAACCTGCGAGATCCCGGCAGCATCCACAGAAAATATTTTTCCTCACAGCCCTCACTCATGACTGTCAAAACACAAGGAATGAGTGCCAAGTGGCCCACACAGTCTAACCCCTTACTCTAATTCCACCTTATTAACCCCCATTAACAAAAATGTAAATAATGTTTGTAGATCTGTACCAGTTTGTGTAAAATTATATGTGAATGTGTCCTTCTTATAAAACTATTTGTGTTTTCAATAATATAACTTGGGTTTTATACTCAAATAGCTAATTGTAGGAGAATTTTTACAGCTTTGTATTTTTGGCTTACACTTTCGGTTTATCAGTTTGTCAATTTAGCAAAAACACTTGTTAAGTTAGCAATTCAGATTCAATGATTTTTCTTAGCAGTAAGTCCGAAGACCTATATATATTCTGTATCTGAATGACTGAGCGCTATGAAAATGCCCTAGAGAACTATGTCTATAAACCAGGGACTGATAGTAAAACCAAATAGGTGAAACAGTTAATTTGTCAAAAAAGCAAGACTAAACAAAAAGCAGAGATTTCTTTTATGTTCAAGCAAGCTCCACAGAATATGCACCAATAGTCCCCCAAATATGACCAATAATTGCAGATGTTTGATTGGAGTTATAAAGCAGATGTATTTAGACTGGGATTAAGTGTTATGTCATGTCTGCCATCATCTCTTTTTCCGTGTGTGTATGGTTTGGGCTCTGATTGAGAACCAGTAAAAGTTCCTCCTTGATGTCAGCAGACGGGGCAGGCTTAGAGTGGTGGGATTTTTTTTGTAAATCACTGCATTTAAAACCCACTGTGTGCAGGGCGTCTACAGGACAGCCAGTTCTATACACTATAACCTGTGCAATAAACTGTGCTTTTAAGCCTTTCAAAGCATTATAGGAATTGTAGTCATGCTGAAGGGGATACTTTCCCTAGCCTGTAACATGCCCCATCAAAGAAGAGTTGGAAACTGGAAACTGTTATGTCCATCCCCCATATGTTTTTAGTAGCCACCACCCGTCACCCATGAGGGCAATAAGTCCCCCCCATTTACTTAATTTAACCTCATCTGCCACCCATGGGAACACTATGTCCCCTTTGTGAATGATTTAGTTAATAGCGCCACCCTCCGCCTATAGGTAGGAGCTGAGGGGATCACTGCCCCCTTGTGCATTTTCTTATTAGCCCCGGCACTCTTCTTATGGGATGACCAATCCTACTTTTTTATTTAATAGCCCCAACCCTGACCACAAGTGGGGGCAGGGAAGTGGACAGTGACATGTCCACCAACCATTATTTAATTTTCCAGGTCCCCGACAGATATTTGTATTAGCAGTCGCTGCCTGCTCACTGTTTAGTAGACATGCCCCAACCCACCATGCCTCCCTTATACTAATTTGGGGTCATATTAGCTATTTGACTGCTGGCTGCTACTGTTGCAGATGGGCATAGAGGAAATAAAAGTATTTATAAACTATTTTTAGGTGTCAATTCAATGAGACTAATAATTGGGATTAGGTTCTCGATAAATGGAACTGAATCACTGACGCCAACATTTTCAATAGTTTGATATTCTAACCGATATTTATCAGCAGTAGGTAAGCATTTAACGGTGGGAATTTAATCGATCTCAAACATTAAACGGCCCATCGGAAGCCAATAAGCCACCAATAAACAAGATGAGCTCTAATTTAATCAGGTCATAGCGTCACAGAGAGAAGCACACCCATACATTTACATAATGGGCACAAAAGCTTACAATGTACACAGACCATCCCGTACCAGAGAAACTAGGAGGGCATGTTTTAATGTCTTTTCTTCTTCTTGTATTCTGAATGAAAGCCTCGGGCTATTACCATAACATGTCTACATAGTATAACAGCTTGATGACGTCCATGAAGAATAATTACAAAGGGCGTAAAGTATAAAACTGGTCAGGAATTTCTGTTATTCAGCTATAAATTGATAGATCCACGCTATGGGATTTACTTTCACTTTCTCTGTATATCTATGTCTCTCAGTCTCCATTTATCTCTGTGTCTCTCTCTCTATGTTTCTGTCTATGTTTCTGTCTGTCTCTATGTCTCAGTCTCTCTCTCTCTCTGTCTATCTATGTGTCTCTCTCTATGTTTCTGTCTCCATGCCTCTTTCTATCTATCTCTATCTCTCTCTGTCTGTCTGTCTATCTCTGTCTCTCTATGCTTCTGTCTATCTCTCTGTCTGTCTATCTCTCACTGTCTCTCTCTCTCTATGTCTCTGTCTCTCTCTATGTTTCTGTCTCCTCTTTAGAAGAGATGAAGACATACAAATAGTATAAATGCCTGCAATGATTTCCCTCTAAAATAGAATAGAAGATTATTATTGGGCATCATTTATAATATACGGGTCCTACAGCAGGACTTTATGAATGGATAGTAGTGTTAGAAAAGGGGCCTACATGCTGATGGACCCATCATGTAGCCCATGCACTAAGGGAAACCCAAGGGAATGTGTCACCAGTGGCCGGTTGTGCACTGCGGCCCTTTAACAGCATGGCCAACCCCCTTTCATATCAGCAGCGCTGGGAGGAAATTACAGTCTGTCACTTCCTCCCAGCTTCAGACACTTTCATGGTCACAGAGGGGGGAAGATAGGGTGGCCAGGCGCGAACTGGAATAGCCAGCCTCTGACTCCAAACAGTCTCGGGCAGCAAATTCAACTAGATCCCAATGAATCTACCTCCCTGCACCCAAAAGATAGGAAACATAATGATGGCTAAAACATTGATCCTTTATATATCTGTATGTCTGTTATTGTGTGCATCTCTGTGGCTGTTTATCTGTATGTGTGTCAGTGTGTGTATCTGTGTTTCTGTGTATCTGCATGTTTGTCAGTGTGTGTATCTCTGGGTTGATGTATCTGTATGTGGGTCAGTGTGTGTGTCTTTGTGTATGTTTACCAGTTTGTATGTATGTGTATCTGCATGTGTTTTATTGTGTGTATCTGTGTGTATGTGTATCTTCATGTGTGTCAATGTGTGTATCTGTGTGAGTATATGCAGGGCCGCCATCAGGGCATGACAACCATAACTGTTGTTATGGGCCCGGCGGTCCTGGGGGGCCCGGACTGCTCAGGTCGTCCCGGGCCCCACATTCAGTGGCGTACATACCCGGTATGTATACACTGTGGCCAGCCTCTTCTCCTGGGGGGCCCAGCAGCTGGTCACCTCAGGCCCCCCGAGGCTGACCCTGGTGTCACTTGGTGGGCGGGTGGGCGCGCGCGCGCGAGGGAGTGTCATCTTCCGGCTCCGGCATCAGTACGTGGCACGCGAGGGAGCTGAAGAGGAAGCACTCCACTGGACCCCAGGGAATCCCCTCAGCACTTCCAAAGGTAGGGAGGCTGGGGGGATGAAATCTAAAATAACAAAAACCGTGTGTGTGTTAGTGTGTGTGTGTGTGTGTGTTAGAGTGTGTGTGTGTGTTAGAGTGTGTGTGTGTTAGTGAGTGTGTGTATGTCTGTCACTGAGCGTGTGTCTGTCAGTAAATGTGTGTGTCTGTTAGCTAGTGTGTATGCGTCTGTTCGTGAGAGTGTGTGTGTGTCTTAAGCACTTACCTTTCTCCAGCGCTGGACTCCCTTGGTGCTGGGGATCTCTCCGCCCTGATCCGCCTCTCAGCTCCGAATGCGCATGCGTGGCAAAAACGCCCGTAGGAAAGCATTATTTAATGCTTTCCTATTGACGTTCAGCGTCATCTCACTGTGATTTTCACAGTGAGAATTGCGGAAGCTCCTCTAGTGGCTGTCAATGAGGATTAACCCTCAGTTTCACTAACATTTACACACACTATACATTAACATTTACACACACTATTCACTAACATTTGCACAGACTATTCACTAACATTTACACACACTATTCACTAACATTTACACACACAGTATTCACTAACATTTACACACACTATACACTAACATTTATACAAACTATACACTAACATATACACACAATATTCACTAAAATTTGCACAAACTACATCCTTACACAAACATACACTCTGCAGTCACTACACACACTATATCCTTACACAAACACACACTCTGGAGTCACTCCACAAACACACACACACACACTCTGCAGTCACTACACACACTACATCCTTACACAAACACCCAGTCTGCAGTCACTCCCCCCAGGAGAAGAGGCTGGCCACAGTAGGTACATACCGGGTTGCAGGGCGGCCGGGCCCCCTGCGACCCCGGTATGTACGCCACTGAATGTGGGGCCCGGGACGACCTGAGCAGTCTGGGCCCCCCTGGACCGCCGGGCCCATGACAACCATTATGGTTGTCATACCCTGATGGCGGCCCTGCTAAGAACAACCCTGCAAGAATGGGAAAATGTTAGATCCCAAGCTTGCAAAGCATTGTGGGATCAACCTTTTGGCCACCCTTGCAATGCCCTCTCTGTTAATTCCACCACTGATAGGTAGCTCCTAATGGCTGACTTTCATGGCTGCCTGAAATGCTGGGTCAAATACACATGGAATGGCATATACTTCTTACTTTTACAAGACCCTAATTCTGCCTTCTACCCTCACCCCTCACTGCTTTATCCCTTCCAATAACAGAACGCCCCAATTTCCAACCAATCTCATTACAGATAGATAAGCATTAAAACATAAGGTTCTAACGTTGATTCTACTGTGTTATAACTTGTAGTTGAGAAAATCATATATAAATTAGTACAATTTTGCAAAAGTATTGTAGAGCAATGGTATTACTTCAAATCAGCAGCACTTATTACATCATACCTTTCAGCTCTGTGAGCAGGCGTCTGTATAAAATGTAAAATATAATGTAAATTGTTATGTATCAGCAGATTTCTGTGTTTATATTTCTGCAGCAGTGTCACCAGCAGTGTACGTCACCGAAACCCCTGAAATAATCACTGCTATTGGGACGGCAAACCCCGAACTGACTCTAATTAACACAAGAACACCACTCAACACATTTGAGTCCACAACAATACAACCCACAACTCCTGGGAGGTCTGTTACCTCATCTATTGTAAATGACACCACAACGATAGATCAGAAACAGACAACAACTGAAATCACAACTTCAACTACACCAACACAAACTGCAGCAGCTGCTATGACCAGCATTTCATCATTGTCAACTGCTGCTTCTCCCACCACTGGGATTCCAACTGCAACAATGCGTGATGCAACTGTAGCCCTGTTAGATATAACACGACAGACAGCTGCATCTCCAAATGCAACGAATGACACCACTGCTGTCTTGGAAAACATTGTTAATAACAGTAATATGACCTCTCAAACAACTGTGGCACCAACAACTACACCAAAAATGCTGACCTCAGCACTACAAAACACATCATTGACTAGTACCTCGCCATTGTCAGCTAATGCAGATACGGTAACTAACATAACCGAATCTAGCCCGGAGATACCAACAACTACACCCCAAATGCTGTCCTCACCCCTACTAAACACATCATCGTCTAGTACCTCACCATTGTCAGCTAATGCAGATATGGTAACTAACATAACCAAATCTAGCCTGGAGATACCAACAACTACACCACAAATGCTGACCTCACCCCTACTAAACATATCATCAACTAGTACCTCACCATTGTCAACTAACGCAGATATGGTAACTAACATAACTGAATCTATCCCAGAGATACCAACAACTACACCACAAATGCTAACCTCACCCCTACTAAACACAACATCGACTAGTACCTCCCCATTGTCAACTAATGCAGATATGGTAACTAACATAACCAAATCTAACCCGGAGATAACAACAACTACCCCTCATGGGCTGACCTCACCCCTACTAAACATATCATGGACTAGTACCTCGCCATTGTCAACTAATGCAGATACGGTATCTAACATAACCGAGTCCAACCCGGAGGTATCAACAACTACACATCATGGGCTGAGCTTAGCCTTCTTAACCACACCTGTAGTGGCCACTATGGCAGGTGTTACTACAACTGCACAGACTGACACAACTGCAGAGGCAACAACAACTGTTAGTATAACACCTATCACCATGTCAACACCAGAACCTACAACAACTGGCATGACAACCAATTCAGACAAAACCACAAGTAAGTAGTGTGTTTACATAATAAATATATACTGTTATTTCCACACATACACAATCAATAGCCACTTTATTAGATATACCTTAGTGAAACAGGGCAGGAACCCACATTTGCCACTAGAACAGCCTGCATGTTTTGTGAAATTAATTAATCAAGGTTCTAGAAACATTTTTTAGAGATTCTACTGATATTTATATTATGCTCATTTAGTGTCAAGGGGTCTAATGTGTGCCGATAAAACATTTCCCATACCATTAAACCACCAGTAGCTTGAACTTTTAACAAAGAGAAGGATAGATTCAGAGTTATATGTTGTTTACAGCATATTCTGTCATTACCATCTGCATGTTGAAAATGAAGATTTGTCAAACAAAGCAACTTTTTTCCAGTGTTCTACCGTTCAGTTTTTGGTGTGTCTGAACCCACTACAGCTATATCGTCCTCCCCTTAGCAAAGGAACCCAATGTGGTCTTCTGCTGTTATGGAATATCCACTCTACGGTTCTACCTTTTGTACATTTAGAGATTCTCTTCCACCGCACTGGGAAACATAGTTATTACAGTTACTGTCACCTTACTGTCAGTTGGGCATTTTAATTGGTGTGACTAGGCCCCTGTGTTTGTATGTGTGTTTATCTAAGGGTGTGTGTCAAAGTGTATGTGTATCTGAGTAAGTATGTTTGTATGTGATAGTGTATGCGCATACATCTCAGCAATGAAACACCAACACAACATGCACATATATCCCTGAAGTTAAACGATAAAATGATATACAAGCAAGCATTCAAACACAAATGCTACACACCTGCATTTCAAAGCCAACAGGACATAAAAACAAACCCATGCATTCAAACAGAAACATTACGTAGAAAAACACCACATCATTCCAATGACAACTGTGCAGACAAATACACCCCTACATGCACACACACATACTCCATACAAAAAGATTATTACATTCAAACATACAAACACTGCTAACAAATATAACCCTTCGAACATGAGGAAATAGTAGATCCCCAGATGACATAACATTGTGGGAGTTATACAACAAATAGGAATTTACCTTTTTGCCACCATTGTGCTAGGGGTGGCCAAAAAGTATCTTGCACCAGGGCCCTCTCTACATTAGTTCCATCAGGGCCGATCCTAGGCGGGTGCATAGGGTGCACCGTGCTTTGGTGCCGGGAGGTGGGAGTGCCGTGCGGAGAAGGCAGATGGCCTGTCACAGGGGGCCCGGGAGGTGGCCACCTTAGGGCGCCCCCAGAGCGGCGCTTATTTAGCAAGGCAGATTAGGCACCTGCTTATCCTTGTGGGCAGGTGCCTACTCTGCAGCAATATACCAGGCTCAAGCGGAGAAGGAGGCAGAAGGAAGGTGGTGGCGTGGGAGCGCTATCTGCCCTGCTGATATCTCTGCTCCTCTCCGTTGCCTCGCACGCCCTCTGTTGTGATGCCGGTAGCCGGAATAGTATGTTATTCTGGCCGAGCATCACTAAACAGTGCGAGAGAGGAGCAGGAAAAGCATCAAAGCCAATGGATGACAGGGAGAGGACCCTGAGGACTCCTAAAAGTAGGAGCAACAAGCAAGATTAATTTGTGTATGTGTGTGTCTGTGTCTGTCGGTGTGTCTGTCAGTGTGTGTGTGTCTGTCAGTGAGTTTGTGTGTGTCTGTCAGTAAGTGTACAAATATAAACAATAATGTACCAGCGCTACTTTTAGTTCAGATTTTATATAATTCTATATATATACAGTAGTTGGAAGAGCTGCTATAACACTGTAGTTTATCTTTTAACGTGGATGTTCAAAAGAGAAGAGTGTATCCGTGTATCACTATATACTGTTTCCATTATTATAACTTTTTAGCACTTACACGATACACTCTTCTCTGTCAGTAAGTGTGTCTGTCAGTGTGTGTGTGTGTGTGTGTGTGTCTGTCAGTCAGTGAGTGTGTATGTGTGTCTGTCAGTGAGTGTGTGTGTGTGTCTGTCAGCAGGGCCAGCCTTCGGGGTGTGCAAGCTGTGTGGTCACAAAGGGCACCATAACAACAGAGGCGCCCGGCGGGGCACCAGCATATTAAATTAAAACGATTCCCTAGTCGTCCACTGGTGCGCACCAGTAGTAGGTGCAGTGAGATTATATCCTCTCCCTTATGGTTCCGGCACTCAGCCTGTGCTCTGACTCAACATTGAATGCTGGAGCTGTGAACAAGACCTCCCCAACACTAGGGACCCTGACTTCCTCTGCTCCCGGTGCTCAAGACAGCAAGGACTGTGTGTATGTGATTGTGAGTGACTGTTGTTACTTATATTGTGTATGTGACTGGGTGTGTGTGTCACTGTGTGTGTATGTGTGTGTGTGTGTATGTGACCAATACAGTGTCCATGATACATTGTCCATGATACAGTGTCCATATGGCTCTGTAAATGTGTGTATATTGTATTGTGTGTGACTCTCCAGGTATGCATAGGACTGCAAAAAAACAGAAAAGGTGATTTGCGCACACAGAAAAAGGTTATTTAGTTTTAACTTACCCTTATTAATTCTCTGGTAACCAACACATAGGTAATTCTTTCAAACCTATATTAAAGTGAATAAAAAAAACACACATAGTGTAAACTGTATATGTAAGATTGTATATACGTAAGAATATCTCTTCAAACTCATAATTTTCAGAGCCCCTTAAAAGTTGGCTCGGTACTTATGGTGCTTTTCATCTCATCAGTGAGATATATAGTGAAATTTCCAGGAATCGTCCTCAGGAACTCTGGACTGTTATATTACATGCAACTCCAGAGTCCAGGGTAAATATTTAATGAACATTTATTTAACAAATTATTAAAAGCAAAAACAAAAGTAGCACAACACGTTTCAGCAATTCAAAACAGGTCTTCCTCAGGTGCATATACTTTTCAGACTGAACATATTTGGCTTTATATGCCAGAAAGTCTATCAGATAATTGGACAATTTCAAACACGTGTGTAAAAAAAACCACCCATGACCATATATGGTCAAGACTTGATTTGATCCAAAACATTTGGCGCCCAAAGAACGTGGGGCATCTGGATTCTGCATGAACAGACAGCCGGACACAGGACTGGGGAGTGGAAGTCCGAAGACTTGGCCAGGGAGCCTGATCAGCTCCTAAAATATGGTAATAACTGCTTATTAGTAATTGCTTGTATTTCCTGTCTTTGTGACTAGTCTCCCTCTGTGTCCACTTCCGGCCGCCTTCAAGCTTCAAAGAAACAGGTGAATTTTTTGCCCGGTGTTGTAACTGCAGGTGGTTCCCTTATTTACCACTATAATGTCTTAAAGCATAGAACTTAGTAGGGCTAACCATACAGATATCTTAGCCATAATTTTAGATAGTTTTAAGAGATCCTCCATTTAACATATATAAATAATTGAGAAAACAATATAAAATAAGGATTGTCTTGGAAGCAATAGTTTTGTCTTTTAGATATTTATTATATAAAAATATAAATATAGACATATAAAATCCATATAGCAGAGTTTATAAGATTAAACTAAATGCTTGCAAATATCATTAATTGGTTAACATACCCTCCTGAACATGTCATCATGTCAGCCATTTTAAGATGGAGCAGCGTCTGTCTCCAAGTCTCTCCTCTGTGTCTTAACATTTAAAAGTACACCTATTTATACCTTAGGTGTTTCCATTTTAGGGTTACCGTACTTCATATATGAAAAAGTAACACTTCTTTTACTTTATTCATTTTAGGACCTCCCTTATTTTGGCAAACATACAAGGCCATAACTAAAGGGTGTATACGTCATGGAAATTTTCCTGACTTAGTTCAAGATGGCATCTTAAAGTCTGAACATCCTTATCTACTAAGGTTACTACAGTATATTACATACTGAAAGAGTCGTAGGATCGCCTTGAAGCTTGTTTATGCATTATTGTTATTGTAATTCGTCTGGGACAAAATGGCGCAAACATATTATGCACTGAGGTTATTGCTTAAAGAAACAGTTATGAAAAATAATATGATCCATTTCTAACACCTTGTCAGTTTGCAATATCTCTTAAAGACAAAGTACGCAGTTTAAGAAATACAACATTTCATTCTAAAACTTGTAATATTTGCATTTGCCCATAACAGTGTCTTTTTAAAAGAACCTGTTGATTGTCTATCTGCTTCCTGAGTGTGAGTTTTATGTGTGAAAGTGTCTGCTTGAGAATCCGTTTTACTACTTGCTTAACACTGTTATATAATACTGCTACGTTTTGGTGAAGAGACTAGTGTTTTAGCTAAGCTCGGTAAAGAGCTTAAAGTGTTTTTTTTGTTGTTTTAGCTAAGTTTGGTAAAGAACTGGCGTATTTTGTTTATTGCATACTCGGTAAAGAGTTTTAAGTGTTTTTGCACACTCGGTAAAGAGTTAAAAAAGTTATTGTATACGTGATTGAGTGTGTGTGTGTGAGAGTGTGTGTGTGACTTGAGTTTATTGTTAGCCGGCATTTTCTTTTAAGGGGTTTGTTTCTTTTGGTTTGTATTTGTTGTAAGGATTTGTGGTGTATGTGTTTTTATTTGCAATATACGTAACGTTCAAGTCAATGTCTGTCTTGTCATGTTCCTCCTCTATCCTAATGAGGGAAGGATAAATGTGTTGTAACCCTTTGGGGTCATTATTATTTTGTATTATTTACGTTTCTGTACAGTACTCACATAGTTAACCTTTCTGGACACTCTCTCTCCCCCTCCCTCTTCTACCACCCCCCCTCCCTTTGCTGGCCATTAGCTAGAGCTGCTGAACAAAAAATAAAAAAAATGAATAAATAAAAAGAGGGATTTTTTGCTGGACAAATATCATAGTTAGGAACTTTATGTAATATTGTGTATATTGTTAAGTAAGGTGTTATTAGCAAATTGGAGTAAGGAAAGCAAACAAGGCAAGTGAGAATTTGTTGGAATAACTAGGTTGGTATATGGAAAGAGGCTAATGGATGTTTATTTGAATTGTAACATAATTAATAAAATCAACAACAGGGAATGATTTTGCAGACATTGAAATGTTGGAAAAACTAAAACCACACAATGATGAAGATATTTTTAGTTTTCTTGTAAAATTTGAAAGTGCATATAAACTTGTTGCTAATTTTCCTGAAGATCAGTTAATTAATGAATTTGTGAGAAAATTTCAAGATCTAGATCCAATTGCAATTGTGATGGCTAAACAAAAAAAGGACTTTTGATGGAAGTTGCTTTATTCTTAGATAAAGTAAGGAGGGAAACCAGAAATGAAGGGGTTAAAATGTTTTGCGGAATTAGGCAGAGAAAGAAGCACAGATTTGATCCTCCTTAGTCCCCTCCTCCTCCTTTTTCTAGGACTCAGTGTGAAGGAGTGATACAGACAGCTGAGCCACTCCCAAATTGTCTCAAATATAAACTGCAGAGTTAACAATCAAAGGCAGACTATAACTCCTAACGTTATTTGTTTTTGGTGCAATAAATAACATAATTTAAGGTCTTGCATATATTTTATCCGAGATATCAAATCAAAAGCAAATGAGAAATTGAATTTGTTGATTGAAAATTTTGACAGAGACAATTCATGTGGAAACAATTAAATTAAGGCTTTTCCATGTAAACTTATAATTGTGTTATAGGAAAGCTTTCGGTGAATTAATTAAAATAAATATATACATTAAGGTTGCAAGTGTCTCAGAATGAAATACACTATTGTAGCAGTAGTTAGGAACATGTAATGTATGTTATATTTGGTGTGAGCAAAAATAGAGTAATTCCAATCATTTATTACAGAAGTAAAACAAATGGATATTTTCTTTGTTACTTCTGGGGTAGAATTAAAATCTTTGATTTAATTCATGAGAATGAGATTTTCACCCCTTAAGACCGGAGGGCGTATTATTACGCCCTATTTTAGGCAGCTCTAAACGCCGCCGGGCGTAATAGTACGCCCTCCGGTCTTTCTTTAGTTACCCAGCGGCAGATCTTCCCTCTTGCAGCCCCCCCGGCCATGTGAGAGTGAGGTCCTTGCGAGGACCTCACAATCACATGGCCCGGATAGCTGGCTGCAGCCTTGCCAGCAGGGGGGCTGCCTGTAATGACAGGTATTCCCCGGCATTTAATATGAAAGAGGTGAATTACGGTTGGACAGACATGTAGCGCAAATGCCAGGTTTTGTTTACATTTTGTTTTGTTCACAACGTGAATACCTTTACCTGATTTATACAGATCCCGAAGATTTTGTACACCTCCATGTGTCCCCCTCCCTCAGTTCTGGTGAAGTTGCTCCCAGGGGCCAGCCTGTCCCTTAAGCCACAGTATCCCCCCCACAAAGCCTGTCCAAGCTCTTGCTATTCCCTAACTCGTTAAGGCTCTGGTGTCAAATGGTGCCCTGGTTCCCTGCAATATCCCACTTTTCCCTATAATGACGAATTCTGTGAAGGATACTGTCACCCTGCGGGGATGATGCTCTCTTACCTGGCCACTCTTTTGACACTTCCCGGGGGGGGAATGATAAGGTCTTGACTTAGACCTAGATACTGACTCTATTATTTTCAGCCTTTTCCTCATTGCATCTTGTGGTTCAGAAATATACCAGAATCTGAAGCTTATTATGAAGACCTGTTCTAGTTGGTGGAGATGCAACACACCATAACAGATCTGTTCTGGATTTGCTGTCACTACAGTGGACCAAATATCTCACCTCAACAATGTCTGCACAATAAGCTGAGCTATAGGGTCTCACCACAGCATGCAAGATCTCTGAAGGATACGCCAATATCAACACTGCCACAAGGTATGCACTAGGCGTGGCACATGCCTTCGGAACAATCTGGAAGATAAGACGATTTCTCACAGCAACTGGCACACCAGTTAAGCATAACATGGCTAAAAGGAGCTGATACACCTTCCTGAAGAAGTGGCCGTACTGAAGATAAAGGCTCACGGAAGACTGAACTCAGAGGAGGCATGTGATAACTATCTGGCTGACCAAGTTGTCCAATAAGTTGTAAGTGCACTAAGGGAAGTGGACAGAAGAGTGTCCGTCAAAGAAACTTCCATATTCACCATGTAAGATCCTACCCACAGACCACAAGCTCCTGAAGGAATAACAAGCAGCTACTGACCCTGAAGAAACACAAGCTGGAAAGAGAAAGGGGCAACCCTTAAAGACGGGCTGTACTCCAACGATTTCAAGTTCTGCTTACCCAAGAGCATATACTCAGCAGTGGTCCAGTGGGCAAACGAAGCATCATACCTGTCCAAGACCCTCATGAACTCTTTGATCAACAAATACTTTGAAGCACCAGGAATTACCTTTCTGAGCAACAGTTACTGTAGATCCTGTGCCATTTGTGTCAAGGGTGTAGCGGAACGTCAATAATAAATCCACGAATTCCGCTGGTTCAGGAACGAATCCACAGTCAAGCGCTGAAACAACAAGGCAATATCCCCAACCTCCCAGTAACCGGACGAGACACAGTTCTGAGAGTCAACTGAAATCCTTTTAATCGGCTGGACAATTTATACAAGTCCCCATGCAAGGGGTTTCCTGAGTCCCTCCCCAGGGGCACTCCCAGAGGGGACTACATGGGGGACTTACATTACAGCATATTTCTCCCATCAGGCACCGCTGCACGAGAGGGATCATCTTTCCAGAATGCACCGTTAAGTGGATTATCCCCTCGTGCAGCAGAACCGACAATTCACACAAAAATCCATAACTTGTTGAATATATGGTGGATTTACACGAATGGACGTTCGGTAGATAGCTGGGGTCTGAGCGCATCATTCGTGAGATTACCGCTCAGATCTCAGCTAAAATAACCGAACGCCGCACGAAAGACAGATTTCTGATAAAACATATAAAAAGAACCGATTGCTTGCAGGGAACAAAATACCGAATGTCCCGAAACTCCCGAACGTCCTGGAGGCTCAGCGGTGTTCGTGCCGTCGAGTAGCCGTTTTTAGTACCATGCGCTCGACGACCTAGCACCGCTGAGGGAACAAAGGATCCAAGATGGCCGACCGCCGCATGGTCGGTAGTCGAACGACGGCCACCCAGGAGAGCCTCTAATAACCGATTGTAACATTGTTGCAATCGGTTAACTAGCGCCACACGCCTCTAAGTGTGTGGGCTATTAGGGGGTATTGCGTACGGTTCACGAACGGCCCTCCAAAGTGCCGTTCGTGAAACGAAAGAAAATCCCCATACAAAACCGCCATTTGCATTCGGTTAAAGGCAATGCAGAACATACATAAAGCATACACATACAGAATGAAGCACATATCTCTCTAGACATACAGGCAACCCTTAAAGGCACAGTCTCTTTGTATTGTCCAAGTGGCTAGGTTTGCCACAAAGGGCAACTCAGGAAGAATGGAGAAAAGCCCCAAGCATCCAGCCAAACCTAACTATTCCTTCCAGAGGATTCAAGTTGACTACATCCAGATGCCAAAGCATGGCTTACCCAGCCACCAAAGTGATAACCAAGAGCACATGCCGAGTAGTGCACCATGAAAGTTGCAGAGATCACCCCATGGATTCATCATTCCAGAATCAAGCCTGCCTCTGCTTCATGGGAAGTAGTGTTTGTTGATCTTGACAACCTTCTTTTTTGAAACTCCATTCTTAGAGAGCAAAGATTCTTGTTTTAGAAAATATCAACAAGTGGGTGTTTTGATGGCCATAATAATGCCTGACCACCTGCCATTGATGGAAGCCGAGTACCCCAAAAGGGGACTGTAACGGACCGTTTCTCTCACAAGGGGATAAAATCGGTTTAGGCGATAATCCCCTTTCCCATAGACCAGCAGCTACTGCAATCACCAACCTCCTGAACTCCAAACTGCACGTATTCACCAACTCTCGAACAGCAGACACAGGAACCCTGGAAGCAGCCGAACAGGAAAAGCAATACAAACGGCTTACACTCCTGGCAGTCAGCACACAATCCAATTCCCCCAATAACGAGACGACACTTCGTTTTGAGGGTTAAGCAGAATCTGAGGTGCTGGCACACCCAGCCTGGTTTTTATTACAGTGTTTTCAAATACAGGACCGCCCACAGGGAGGTATAAAACAACCAATAACATCACAGTTACATCCCACATATTCCCTCCCCTTATCCTGAGAGGAAACTCAATTATACATACAGTTAAAACATACTTTCTACCCAACTTTCATAACTCTAAAACCATACATCACATTCACATAAAATTACACATTCACAATCAATCCATTCAGGGGAACAACATATTCAAAAATGGCACAAATCAGACAAGGGGTTCAAAAGTTAGTAAAAAGTCCTTTGTGACTAAATGAAGCATGGCTTTCTGGCCCAAACCAGTTTCAGAGTCTTCTATCCTGGAGATAAGTAATTCAATTATCTCCCAGGACAGACACAAGACTCCATTAAGCACATGGTTGCAAAAAGACACAAAACACTTTAAAATACATAAAGTCACCTTTTATACATAAAACACAGACATTTCACATATCCCCAGATAGCTCAGGTCTGAGCGCACATTATTAAGTGAATGGCGCTCAGACCACACGAATACAGTTTAATCGCCATGGAGCCAAAGTCTTTACAGTCAGTTTCATACAAATGGGCTCCATGGGATTCCTATCTGGGGTATAACACATTCAAACACATCTACCGAACCCCAGGCAGAAAAGCACGAATACAGCTTTTCTGCAGGCAAAAATAAAGTCTTTTAAAAGGGGGCCATAGTCAGATGGCAGGAGGCTGGCAACCAGGCTTCTCCAGTGCACAGTGGCGAGGTTGGTTTCGCCACACTTCTCCCCTTTACCAATCAGACTAACAGGGTATATGACCTCCTGCCGGTCAGTGCCCTTGTTAGTCCAGCAGCCCACCCACAAAACACAATCAGTAATACAGCCCACCCACAATAACTGGCTACTACACCTGGGTAGAGGAGAACTTTGTCCGTGTCCAGGTGCCTCACCATGGCTGTGTGGGTGACTGGTCAGCGTACTGGGTGGGTTGCTGAGTGGGCAGAGACCAGCGGTACTCTGTCCTGATGCCAGCACTACCACGGGAGTAGTCTGGTTGGAGCCTGGTTGCTGGAGGGGGGGACAGACTGTCTCCCCTTTGCCTAAACAGCCCTGCTGCTGGGGGACAGGACCGACTGTTCATACCCCCGGTGGTGCATGTGCAGAGACCACTGTCCCCTCTGCACTGTTGTGGAGATTACTGTCTCCCCTTGGTGGGCTAAGCTGCCGCTGGGGAGAGGGGGTAACAAGCTCCTCTCCCATACATACTTTCAGCCGCTGGGGAGAGGGGATAACAAGCTCCTCTCCCTGACACTCTCTCTGCTGTTGGAGGGGGGGACCAACTGTCTCCCCTTTTAATAAATTGTCCTGCTGCTGGGGAGCGAGACCGACTGTCTCCGCTTCCTGCAGAACACACTGCCGCTGGGGAGGGAGGACGACACCTTCAGCTCCCTGGGGTACACACTGCCGCTGGGGAGGAAGGACGGCACCCTTGGCTCCCTGGGGTACACACTGCCGCTGGGGAGGAAGGACGGTACCTTCAGCTCCCTGGGATACCCACTGCCGCTGGGGAGGAAGGACGGCACCTTCTGCTCCCTGGGACACACACTGCCGCTGGGGAGGAAGGACGACACCTTTGGCTCCCTGGGATCACACTGCCGCTGGGGAGGAAGGACGACACCTTCAGCTCCCTGGGATACACACTGCCGCTGGGGAGGAAGGACGCACCTTCAGCTCCCTGGGATACACACTGCCGCTGGGGAGGAAGGACGGCACCTTCTGCTCCCTGGGACACACACTGCCGCTGGGGAGGAAGGACGACACCTTTGGCTCCCTGGGACTCACACTGCCGCTGGGGAGGAAGGACGGCACCTTCAGCTCCCTGGGATACACACTGCCGCTGGGGAGGAAGGACGACACCTTCAGCTCCCTGGGATACACACTGCCGCTGGGGAGGAAGGACGGCACCTTCTGCTCCCTGGGGTACACACTGCCGCTGGGGAAGAAGGACGACACCTTTGGCTCCCTGGGACTCACACTGCCGCTGGGGAGGAAGGACGGCACCTTCAGCTCCCTGGGATACACACTGCCGCTGGGGAGGAAGGACGACACCTTTGGCGCGATCTGCCACGACCTGCAGGTACTCTGCTACATGTCCCCTCACGCGCTGCACGAATTCCTCAGAGGGGACAAATGTAACAAGAGCCAGCCGCAATTTAAGCTCTCGGTCAAACTCCTCCTGAGTGTAGCTGGGCGCCATGTTTGCTCTGCCGAAGTTGGTTCCTTTGTAGATAGGGTCGCTGTACGGGTACTAACGTTGCCCTCAATTGTAATCCAGGCACTGGTGTTGTCTTGTAGCTGTCCTTCTGGTTGTAGGAACGTTCCCGCCGCTTGCCACCAATTGTAACGGACCGTTTCTCTCACAAGGGGATAAAATCGGTTTAGGCGATAATCCCCTTTCCCATAGACCAGCAGCTACTGCAATCACCAACCTCCTGAACTCCAAACTGCACGTATTCACCAACTCTCGAACAGCAGACACAGGAACCCTGGAAGCAGCCGAACAGGAGAAGCAATACAAACGGCTTACACTCCTGGCAGTCAGCACACAATCCAATTCCCCCAATAACGAGACGACACTTCGTTTTGAGGGTTAAGCAGAATCTGAGGTGCTGGCACACCCAGCCTGGTTTTTATTACAGTGTTTTCAAATACAGGACCGCCCACAGGGAGGTATAAAACAACCAATAACATCACAGTTACATCCCACATATTCCCTCCCCTTATCCTGAGAGGAAACTCAATTATATATACAGTTAAAACATACTTTCTACCCAACTTTCATAACTCTAAAACCATACATCACATTCACATAAAATTACACATTCACAATCAATCCATTCAGGGGAACAACACATTAAAAAATGGCACAAATCAGACAAGGGGTTCAAAAGTTAGTAAAAAGTCCTTTGTGACTAAATGAAGCATGGCTTTCTGGCCCAAACCAGTTTCAGAGTCTTCTATCCTGGAGATAAGTAATTCAATTATCTCCCAGGACAGACACAAGACTCCATTAAGCACATGGTTGCAAAAAGACACAAAACACTTTAAAATACATAAAGTCACCTTTTATACATAAAACACAGACATTTCACATATCCCCAGATAGCTCAGGTCTGAGCGCACATTATTAAGTGAATGGCGCTCAGACCACACGAATACAGTTTAATCGCCATGGAGCCAAAGTCTTTACAGTCAGTTTCATACAAATGGGCTCCATGGGATTCCTATCTGGGGTATAACACATTCAAACACATCTACCGAACCCCAGGCAGAAAAGCACGAATACAGCTTTTCTGCAGGCAAAAATAAAGTCTTTTAAAAGGGGGCCATAGTCAGATGGCAGGAGGCTGGCAACCAGGCTTCTCCAGTGCACAGTGGCGAGGTTGGTTTCGCCACAGGGACCTTGTGAAACTAAAGAGAATCAGAAGTACTCCTTACCCTGCAGCCCTCACGTCCGGAAGCTGAGGTGCCTACGCACGGTCGAAGCTTCTTCAGGATCATCTGCTTATCTTGAGTTTGTGGTGAAATTAATATTGAATTTTTAAATGATCTGAGTCTGCCAGTACTAAGGTAGCATGAGACAGGATTTATATGATTAAGAATAAGTAAATGTGCCCTAGCCAAGGTTATTATGTCCATACAAATAATACATGACAATCACCAAGGTACTCTTGACACACCACATTCATGCTTCAGGACAAAAAGGAGCACCCCTATAAAGGGCGGTTTAACCCACACATATATATTAATGCCATAGGTGTGTCAAGGGGGGTACCAAATGATTTTAAGGTAAGAAACCCAAACCTTCTCCCAAGCATTACAGCTAATAAAATCTGAATTGGAAGGGAGGAGGTTCATACAATAAACAGGGGACCTTTTACTTACAGGACATGTATGACTCATCTGAATGGGTAGGTGCCACGCACATGACTGTTAATCCCCTCAAACCACACATTAAGACTTTAAAAGGCATGGTAGTCATCCCATATTTGAGGATGCTATGGCTGTAGAGAAACTTGTGGCTTGAATGGGTGAAATACAATGCGAATAAACATAACAAGTCTAACTGCTATGTCTGCGGAGGAGCAAGGCCTCACCCAGGTACTGTACCCCTCCGGATATAGAGGTATGCTTTTTAAGTCTCTACACTATATTTAAAACTAATCGGTCAGCATGCGAGTCATGGAAAAAGAATATCCAATCATTACAAAAATATTAACCCAGACGGGTTAAAAGCACTGGCGTACTATATAGAAGGCATTACTATATATCCAGGGAACTATACTTGTTATGGGATATATGGTGGGATAGGGCAGTTACAAGCTACCTCCCAGATGACTTTCCAGAATCGGATGGTCTTAGAGATGATTTTGACAGGAAAAGGGAGAGTATGTAAAATACTCCCAGACACCATGACATGCTGTACCTATATTCCGGATAATACAGGCCCTAATGGTAAGGTAACTTTGGCCATAGAAAAGTTAAAGAGTTTGTCCGATGAGCTGAAACGAAATTCTGGGGCCACAGATCCATGGGAAAGATTGTTTGGATGAATGAATGATTGGTAGAAAGTTCTGACCCAGATAGGTGTGGCTGTCTTGATAATGTTGATTATTCTTGCTCCTATTGTCTGTTATGTGTTACCCTGTCTTAAGAAATGACTACAAAAGACAGTTGATCAGACAATCGACCAGACTACCCCGACTTTCCTTCACCAAGAGATTGACGACATAGACTGTGATATACCACATACACCCTTACAGTCTTTCATTGACCAGCAACTTGTGTCCGGTGTGAATTACTCTACGGAAGCGTGCATGCATATATTTTAATAAGGACAGGGGCAGATACACAAAGATTATCAAACACTTGATTTGATCCAAAACAGCATAATAGGGTCACCCCACTTATGCTCACTTTATCTGCATACGTTAACCTTGCACATGAATGCTGGTGTACATGTCTAAAAACGTTTACTGTGTGTACTGCAGTATGATTCGATTATTATGTCTAGTTGCATTTGGTAAGATTTATAATATGGAAATCATTGCTAGCAGTTAGCGGCACACGTTTTAGGTATTAGTGGCTTGTGGGTAAACCATAGCGGCAACAGTATAAATTATTACTTAACGTTTGTATGATGGAATATTTAATTTTTTTCAGCATGGACAGGTTAAAGTTCAATTTATTTTAGGAAGGGTCTTGCTGTTTTGTTAACGTGGTACCTTGGGTCACCTTCATGTGTTTAGTCTGGGAAGGGGGAAAGGGCCCAGTGTATGAGGAGGGATGGGTGGACGTACTGACAGCTTTTATTCTTTGTCATTTAGTTATATGAACTTATTCAGCTAAAATAACAATAAATATTACTTTATTGTGAATTCTTTGTGACTTAAATTACAATATCTGTTTATTTTTATTTACAGCAACAATTGTAATGAACTTCAAATACAAAAACAGTGCAATCCCTCAAGGTTCATATACGGCCCTAAGGGACCTGGCGCAAGAGGTAAATTCATAACTTGGACTAACTTGGATACAGTGTGAGTGAGGAGCGTGATGTCCTGCACGGAGTCCTAATTTATCAGCTTTCCTGTAAGGAATAAGTTACACTGTGACAGATGAAGGATTAGTAGAATTATAGATGTAGATTTGTAGATATGAGTAACAGAAGTGAAAAACCTGAGTGGGCACATCGGATGGCCCATGCACTTAGGAACACCCAACGGGCATGCATCATCATGGGCCAAGTCGTGTGCTGCGCAACCAGGGTCCTTTCATATCGGCAGCCTGTCGCTTACCCCCAGCTACAGACATTGAGTCGCATGGGATGGGAAGGGAGGAGGGGAGTGCAAACTGGGAGAGACAGTCTCTGACTCCCGACATCCTCAGCCAACAGGTCATACTGGACCCCAGTGAAGCCACCCTTGTGCACCCAAAAGGTAGGAAATGGGAGGGTGGCTAAAGGTGTCTTTTTTTTTATTGTCATTGTGTGTTTCTGTGTGTCTGTGTATCTGCAGGTGTGCCAGTGTTTTTATTTATGTCTCTGTGTATCAGTGTGCATATCTGTGTGTCTGTATGTGTCATTGTGTGTATCTCTGTGTCTGTGTATCGGTTTGTCTGCATACTTGCATGTGCATCAGAGCATGTACCTGTGTGTCTGTATTTCTGTATGTCTGCCGATTTTTGTATCTTTGTGTCTGTGCTTGAATGTTAGTGTGTGTATCTGTGTGCACATGTGTATATATGTGTGTGTGTGTGTGTGTGTGTGTATGTGTCATTGTGTGTATGTGTGTGCATTTAATGGCCAACGCTACATACAAACACAGCCCTACATTCAAAGGCAAACATTACACACAAGTACGCCAGTGCTTTCAAATGTCAACAGTACATAAAAACACACGCGCGTATTCAAATGCCAACACTACACATAAATTCACCCAGAGCCATAACTAGAAACCATGGGGCCTCCACCCACAACCCTCAATGTGTCTCATTCAAACAAACACACACTGACATACATGCACATAAACACCATATAACACATACAGATACATACACATACACACACGCAAATACAGACACACAAACTAACACACAGATTCACAGACACATATATACACACAGACACACATGCAGACACATATACACAGAATGACACTCTTATTATTATTATTAATATTGGTATTTATATAGCACCAGTTTATTCCTCAGCGCTTATAGATACAAACACTGACACAAATGCAGATACATAGACACATATGCGGATACACAGACACACATACAGGCAGATACACAAACACTTAAGGAAAAACATTCAAATACACAGAATGACACTCATACAGATACATTCAGTGACACACATACAGATACACAGGGCACACACTGACATACAGATATGCAGACATACAGATACGCAGACAAACATATATACACGCAGGCACACACATAAATACAGAGACACATACACACACACACATACAGAGACAAACACACATACAGAGACACACATAAACAAACACACACACATGCAAAATGGTTTAGTCACTGAAACGGCACCCCCAGGCATAAAAGGGGTTAACAGATGTTTAGGAGATATTCACTTCCAGATATACAAGCAGCTACTGTAGACACCAATCCACCGAACCAGAGAAGCATACAAATGCTCTCAAACATACGAATGCTGTAAACAGCCGAATAGGAAAAACCATACGAATAGGTTTACACTCCTAGCAGTCGAACTGGAACTGCATACAATAAATCCCCCCCCAAGAACGAGACAAGGCTCCATTTTGAGGGTGAAGCAGGACCCCACCCACAGGGTTTTGGAAAACAACCAATAAACACATACAAAACACTCAGACACTCCCACACAAAATTCTCCCCTCTGCCTGTGATACAATTACCTTACACAATGGGTAATGTAATTATCACAGGCAGAGAAATACAGTTTTTCCACATTATTCATAATTTTAAAAGTATGCATCACATTCACATAAAACTTTCAGAATTTTCAGAATTAGCATACTCCAAATACAAACATACGTCAAAATCATACAAATTGGTCCAGTGGTTCAAAAGATAGATCGTAGTCCTTTGTGACCAAATGAAGCATGGCTTTTCTGCCCAAAACCAGTTCCACAGAGTCTTCTATCCTGGAGATAATTGGGAAGTAATCCAATTACCTCCAAGGACAGAGGCAAAACTCCATTGAATACATGGCAGCAAAAGACAATAAAATACATAAAAATATATAACTGTGCAGCCATTGCATAAAACAGGTACATTCAACATATCCCCAGATAGCTCAGATCTGAGCGCACATTATTACTGAATGGCGCTTAGATCACACACATACAGTTCAATTGCCATGGATCCAAAGTCTTTCCCATAGTCTTTCATTATACGAATGGGCTCCATGGCATAGCTATCTGGGGTATCACCGCTCAAACAGGGCAAGCACCGAATGACCCGGCTTTCGTGTCTTTGCAGGGGAAAATCAAGCGTTTCAACATGGGGCCATAGTCTAAAGGCAGCAGGCAGGCAACCAGGCTCCTCCAATGCACAGTGGCGAAATTGGTCTTGTCACAGTCAACCTCCTGTTTCCTACCTTTTAGATGCAGGAGGGTGACTTTCCTAGGGTCCAGTGGTGGCTCAAGCTGATGGGAGTCAGAGTTTTCACTCTGACTCTCTCCTCTCCTTCCTCCTCCCACGCGGGCACGGTTATTGCTGGGAGTGACCAGGGCAGTCACTTCCTTCCAACTCAGTCTGACATCATCAGAGGGGGCCCGGTCAGCTGTTAAAGCTCTGGAGCGCTGACCGGACTCCCTGGATATTCGTTGCCATCGGGTGGCCCACGCTGGGATTTGGAAGAACTGCTGGGTCCGCAACACATGGCGGTGATGTCAAATGGAGCCGGAGAGCCTCCTGTAAAACCAATACTGGGATTGGCTGTCAGGTAACTTCTTTATTAGTGCGATGTCGTCATCGATGTAACTCTGATTATTACATCAGTTAATGCTGGTTATCTGAGGACATTCCAATCCATTGTAAACATTATAGGAACCTAAAAGGAAATCTCTGACTTAAATTATTTGTTTTCAGGGATAGTTATATGAAATTCCCAAATATTCTTCAGCTACTTTAGGTTTCCACTGGAACGGTTCTTCCAGTTATCTTTCTATCTTCCAATTCCCTTTACTGCTTTTACTGGGAGCCGGGAGCCTGTTCCAGTTATCTACCACCCTTTCTGCAGCACAGTTAGCCATTGGGAGGCATAGAATAGGGACGGAGGATGGGGCTTTAGACATGGACTTGGCAGGCTCATATAAAGCATCTCGGCCCTACGTCTAGGACCCCGCAGAGAATGCTGCTAATGATGTGCTCGTGGTTCCCCTTGCAGGCACTGCTAATTCTACTCAACACAAGCATTGCCAGCATGCTGTGGGCGCTGATGACGGATGTATTTTATGCAGTTAATTGATATTTGGCAATCTGGGACAGAGTTCCAAGCTGTCAAAATGACATGTGCAGGTGGGGTAACAAGGCTCCAACACAAAAGCGCAGATTACACTGGCTGTGCAGCGTTTCAACCAGAAACACTGCGCTTACAGATTCCTACCACAATGATCATTTTAAATCATTGAAGTGGTCATGGTGGTTGAAGTAATCCTTTAAGATATAGACATTATGCAACAAACAATTCTAAACTAAATTTTTTTTATATAAACCGTTTTTAGAAGGCATTAAATAATTGCCTGGTTATTATTAAATATTTGTTTTTATTTTTAGCCTAATCAAGTATCAAATTCTGGCAACTTGTTCTTTTATTTGTCGAATTTCCTAAATCTTCCCATTTTAAAGTTATTATTGTAAAGATACATGTCAATTCACTCTAGCCTGACAAAGGTTTTTAAATTTTATTTTCATTTTTTTTGTGCAAAAATTCTAATATTTACTGTCACAACTTGTGATGGTGATGGTTGCAAGCAGATTACGCACGCTCCATATAAGACCATATAAATCAGTCACTAAATGGTGAAGTACTTTAACTGGCTTCAAAACAAGAGCAGGTTTACAGATGGTACCTTGCTATGTTGTACCAGGAGAACTCTGGAATGTGGTAATTGGGGTGGGTCTTGTCCTTATATGACTAGGGTGATACTCCTACGTCATTATGGTCATATCCATATAGGATAGTGAACAAGGGACCACAAGATTATTTTTGTCCGGCGGTCTAGCTATGTAGAATCTAACTCTCTCTTCAGGAGTCCAGAAATCACTTCTGCTTTGAACATCCATTATCCTGTAACATCCATAGAAACATAGAATGTGACGGCAGATAAGAACCATTCGGCCCATCTAGTCTGCCCAATTTTCTAAATACTTTCCTTATTCCCTGGCCTTATCTTATAGTTAGGATAGCCTTATGCCTATCCCACACATGCTTAAAGGACCACTATAGTGCCAGGAAAACATACTCGTTTTCCTGGCACTATAGTGCCCTGAGGGTGCCCCCTCCTGCCCGGCTCTGGAAGGGGGAAAGGGGTTAAATCTTACCTTTTTCCAGCGCTGGGTGGAGAGCTCTCCTCCTCCGATCCTCCTCTTCTCTTCCCCGTCGGCTGAATGCGCATGCGCGGCAAGAGCTGCGCGCGCATTCAGCCGGTCACATAGGAAAGCATTCATAATGCTTTCCTATGGACGCTGGCGTGCTCTCACTGTGAAAATCACAGTGAGAAGCACGCAAGCGCCTCTAGTGGCTGTCAATGAGACAGCTACTAGAGGATTAGGGGGAAGGCTTAACCCATTCATAAACATAGCAGTTTCTCTGAAACTGCTATGTTTATGAAAAAATGGGTTAACCCTAGCTGGACCTGGCACGCAGACCACTTCATTAAGCTGAAGTGGTCTGGGTGCCTAGAGTGGTCCTTTAAACTCCTTTACTGTGTTAACCTCTACCACTTCAGCTGGAAGGCTATTCCATGCATCCACTACCCTCAGTTAAGTAATACTTTCTGATATTATTTTTAAACCTTTACCCCTCTAATTTAAGACTATGTCCTCTTGTTGTGGTAGTTTTTCTTCTTTTAAATATTGTCTCCTCTTTTACTGTGTTGATTCCCTTTATGTATTTAAATGTTTCTATCATATCCCCCTGTCTCGTCTTTCCTCCAAGCTATACATGTTAAGATCCTTTAACCTTTCCTGGTAAGTTTTATCCTGCAATCCATGAACCAGTTTAGTAGCCCTTCTCTGAACTCTCTCTAAGGTATCAATATCCTTCTGAAGATACTGCGTACAATACTCCAAGTGAGCTCTCACCAGTGTTCTGTACCTCTCCCTACACAACCAAGCATTCTGCTAGCATTTCCTGTTGCTCTATTACATTGTCTGCCTACCTTTAAGTCACCAGAAATAATTACCCCTATATCTCTTTCCTCAGATGTTGAGGTTAGGACTCTATCACATATTATGTACAACACTGCCCTTGGGTTTTTACGTCCGAGATGCATTATCTTACACTTATCCACATTAAATGTTAGTTGCCACAACTCTTACCATTTTTCTAGTTTACCTAAATCATTTGACATTTGGCTTATCCCTCCTGGAACATCAAGCCTGTTACATATCTTATTATCAGCAAACAGACATACCTTACCATCAAGACCTCTTTCTGCCTAATCTTATAGATCTGTCTATCTTCTTCAATCTGGTTTTTTTTTATAATTACTAAATGCTAACTTTAAGTTTTTTTTAACCACAATGGTTTCTTAAATTTGTTGCTCTTACTGACAAGCCTAATGCAATTTTCTGTTGCCTTCAATAGTGCAACTTTTAAATAATCCCATTTCTCGTGATCTCCATTTAAATTGCTCCAGTCTGATAATGCTCCTCTACCCATATTCTAATTTTAGAAAAGTCTGTTTTTCTAAGGTCTAAATCTTTTGTTTTTATGTGATGTGACTCAGTCACTGTTCTTATATTAAACCACACTGACTGATGATCACTGGATCCTAAACTTTCCCCTACAGTAATATCTGATACCAAATCTCCATTTGTTGACACTAAATCTAGTATGGCCCCCTTACGAGTTGGCTCCTTAATGACTTGTTTTAGAGACAATCCTAGTAGGGAGTTTAGAATATATGTGCTCCTGGCACAAGCAGGCACAAGCAGCTATTTTGGTCACCCATGATGGCAACTTCCCCCATCATTGTCATTTTATCTATTTTCTCAACTAGTAGATTATCTAACTCTTCTATTTGTCCTGGAGGCCTATAAATCACACCTACACGAGTTACTGTGTGATTACCAAATTCTAACGTAAACCAAACGGACTCTATGTTCGCCTCACTAGCTTTTATTAGGCTAGATTTTTTCCTTTGTTGTTTTCTTATGTATCAGTAACTGTAAGAATAAACCTGAAGAAACTGTAAGCCAGATTGCGTATTAGTATTTTTGGTTAATACAGACGTATTTTAACATGGCAAGCCTTTTCCCCAATAAGTAATATACATAAAATAATTATTTCAATCAACTTGGAAAAAGACACAGTATTCAATCAACCTGGAAAAAGACACAGTATTCCAATTCATTTAACCTACAAAAAGAACAGGACAAGACAGATAATAGAAAATATGTGGACACTGAGTGTACAAATGCCACAAAAATCCACACACCACTCTCTTAATCCCAAAACAGTGAATGTATACAATACTTGTAAATACAGGGATATATACTGGTAGTGTTCCGTGTACTTGGAACAGTACATAGTGTAAACTGTATATGGAAATAACAATAATAAAAATGTATAATGGATCCACTCACGAATTCTAGAGCCGTGCCAGGCTCTATGTTGAATGCCCAAGGGTGCCTATACAGGCTAAGTGCAGAGTCTTCACAATACTCCTCAAGGCAGAAGAGACAGCAAGGATGGTATAAAAATGAATAAATTTATTATAAAAACAACTAAACAAGTTGTATAAAAAAGTGCAAATAAGCAATGTAATGTATGCAGACGCGTTTCAACTCGATCAGAGTCTTCCTCAGTGCATAAGAAAGTCCATCCGGCTGATTCTCTTTAAGTGTACCGCTCATCTGGCTGCCGGTCACATGGGCGGAAGTTCGGCTTGCCGGCGTCTGACGTCACTTCCGGTTCTTTCGGCGCTCATTTCGTCGGCTTCCCTCTTCACAAAGAATTTGCCCAATTGAAGCATCGGCTTCCACTGTACATATGGGCAACTCTAGAAAACTTACAGACAATAAAGATATAGATATACAAAGTCTATATGAACTATGGTGATATAGTGTGGAATATCAAAAGTATTATAGCTATGGCCCATATGTAAAGACTAGGGTATGTAAGGCAAACTAAAAGGATATGTAATAAACAGGCAAAAAATAAAAATAAAAATAAAAATAAATATAAAAATAATAGTAAATAAAAAATCATAGATGATAATAAATAAAGATAAATATAAAAATAAAATTAAATAAAAATAAAATTAAAAATAAAATTAAAAATAAAAATAAAAATAAAATGAAAATAAAAATAAAAATAGAAATAGAAACAAATGTAGAAATATAAGAATATAAAAAATAAAAATTAAAAATAAATAAAAAATAAGAATAATAATAAATGAAAAAATAAAGGAAAATATAACTATAAAAAATGAACCAACTCAAAATCTAAATTTAGGCCTTTGGGGGATAAGGTATCAAGCTCAAAGATCCACCAGCTCTCAGTTTTGCAGAGTTCCTTGAAGTTGTCCTCACCTCTCCAATCTTTTTTCTTTTGGGCCATAGCAATAAAACTAACAAGTGAAGGATCACTATTGTGATATTGTGCAAAATGTGCAGAGACACTGTGTTTTGCATAGCCTCTTTGTATATTACCCAAATGTTCCATTATACGAGTTTTTAAAGTCCTTGTGGTCATTCCCACATATTGTAGACCGCAAGGACACCAAAGAAGATATATCACATTGCTGGAATGGCAAGTAAGAATTGAGTTGATCTTATACTCTTTATGTGATACATAAGACACAAAACTGGTACGAGTGTCTTTTTTAAATTTTGTCTTCTTACAGGCTGTGCACATTTTACACGGATAGAAACCAAACTTCTGATTAAAAATATTCATATTAGTGGCATTAGTTTTTATATGATTTTTAACTAAAAAAGTCTGAAGATTTTTTGTGCCTCTATATACAATTTTTGGTTTCTTACCGATGATACTCTGAAGACTATCATCAGTTTGCAGGATGTGCCAATACTTATTAATAATTGATTTTACATGGCCAGCATCACTGCTATAATCCAAGATCAAAAGGGGTTCATCAACTTGTTGTTTCGTAGTTTCTTTATTTCTATATGTTAGTAGGGACTCCCTATTTATTGATTTAGTCTCCTGTATCTGACGGTCCAAAACTGTCGGATCATATTTCTTCTCCACAAAAAATCGCTTCAAACAATCTGCCTGTTTATCATATTCTATAATGTCACTACAATTTTTAAAAATACGATTAAATTGACTTTTTGGTACATTGCGCAACCACGGGTCGTAATGGCAGCTCGTGGTGTCAATGTACCCATTAACGTCCACTGGTTTAAAAAAAGTTTTTGTAAAAATATGATTATTCATAACATAGATCTCCACATCCAAGAACTGGACAGATGTCTGGCTAATTTGACTAGTTAAAACTATGCTTCTTTGGTTATCATTAAGTTTATCTAAAAATAGATCCAGGGAGGTGCTAGTGCCTTTCCAAATAAAGAAAATGTCATCGATATATCTGCGATAGAGGACCAGACCCGCTCCCATGTCGTCTCGACCTGGGAGAAAAGTATTTTCCCAGCGTGACATGAATAAGTTGGCATAACTGGGAGCGAATCTGGTCCCCATCGCAGTACCGACTAACTGTAGAAAGAATAAGCCATCGAACCAAAAAAAATTATTAGTCAGTATAAGGCGGATACTGTCTATGATGAACTGAATCTGGTTCTCAACAAACCTATTACTCGAAGTCAGAAATTGTTGAACAGCTTCAGAACCCAATTCGTGCGAAATAATGGTATAAAGGCTGGACACATCGCATGTAACTAAATGGTAGTCATCTTCCCATTTAATGTGTTGTAAAATATTTATTATCTGAGTAGAATCTCTCAGATACGTAGGTTGTGAGATTACCAAGGGTTGGAGTAGTCTGTCTATATACTCAGATAATCTACTAAGTATAGACCCAATCCCGGATACTATAGGTCTTCCGGGAGGATTTTTTATATCCTTATGGATTTTTGGGAGTATATAGAAGACTGATATCCGACTTACGGCTATATTTAAATACTTATACTCATGTTTGTTGAGGATACCGTCTTCCATGCCCTTACTTAATAATGACGTGTATTTTTTCTTTATATCTGATGTAGGATCGGCCTTTAACTGAACATAGGTGGAGGCATCGTTCAGCTGTCTATAGACTTCCGTCATATAGTCCGCAACATTCAGCACAACGATGCCCCCACCCTTATCAGCTGGCTTAATGACTATGTTGTGATCTAGTTGGAGATCCTTAAGGGCTTTAATTTGTGCATAATTAAGATTGCCTTTTTTCTTTTTCTTATTATTTATTTGTCTCACATCTTTCATCACCAACTTCTCAAAGACCTTCATTTCACCACTAATGTGATTTTTTGGAAAAAAGTGGGATTTGTCTTTTAAGTTGGTGTGAACAAAAGTGTCACAAATGGCTCCCTCTTGTTCACTAGTAGAAAATTTGTTAAAATGTTTTTTAAGACAAAGTTTACGAATAAATGTATGCATATCTACAAATGTGTTAAAAGGTTTATTGTTGCTAGTTGGTGCGAATTTTAAGCCCTTATTAACGACCTCCAATTCTTGATTGGTAAGGACTTTATCTGAAAGATTAAAGATACCTAGTGGTGGTTTCTTCCTCTTTTTTTCAAGGTCCAGACATCTTCCTGCACGACATCCCCTTCTCCCTGAGCCCAAGGTCTTTTGGACCTCTGGGGACGGGGAGATGCATCCTGTCCTAAAAAAGGGCGCGATGAAGGTTTGGAGATTTCGGCATAAGACTTGGTTTGGTTTATGACAGTCTGATTTTTATTATCCATCAAAGGTCTAAACCTATTGCCATAGTTGGAAGTGTGTTGCTGGTTACGTATAGGGAGTTGTATTTGATTGGGTCCACTGCATATAACCAAATTCTGAGAAGTAGACCTCGTTTGTTCATGAGTATGGATTTTTTTTTTTTTATTATTATTATTATACCTATTGTTGTTATTTCCATTATAATTTCTATGTATATACATGGAGTTAGAGTTACTAGAATGGTTTCTGTTGTATTTAGCAAATGAACGAACTCTATCATAAGCATAATCATGCTTGTCCCTAATATATTTACTTTTTTTAACAGAGATGACCTCTTCCTCCTGTTTATCAACATTTTCTTGGACCCTTTTTAGGGAAATAGACATTTCTTCAATTTGTGACATAGGTTGCAATTTATCTTTAATCTCATTAATCTCCCTATCTAGTTTAACAACTAGATAAGAGAGTGGTGTGTGGATTTTTGTGGCATTTGTACACTCAGTGTCCACATATTTTCTACTGCATACTTTGTATTTGAGGTGTTGGGGAACACTTTTTCCACCACCACTTTTGTGTCTTTGTATTGTGTAAGCGCCATTCACTTATTTATTTTTTATTATTAAGACAGATAATAGTGCAATATCATCTGACAATGTTAAGAGTTCAGTGAGACTCACTCACATTTTTCAGAGCTAACTTAGAGCTCTGATGAATTGCACATGGACGGTATAATCCCCGTCTAAGGATATATGTAAGTCCAGATGGTAGAAGTTCTCCGGATAAAGTAATGCAAGTATAATATGTGGAAACAGAAGCAAAAAAGACTCCAATAGTGAAGTAAGTATGTTCAAATCAAATATAGGAAAAGCATTGTACTTACAATTCCTAGAGCAAGACTCCGAGCAGTTCATGTATGTATTAATGTACTAATTACGTTTTGAGGATATCATTTTGCCGCTGTGCATCCTCCTCTTTTTGGTTTTGCTTGAAAACACAAGGTTTGGAAATCCTTGTGTGATCCACCGCAGCCTATATTTCTTTATATTATAGTAAGCGCCTATAACATTATCTTTGTGTACCATAAGTGGTTACCCTGCTTACTGAATGGGCCAGTAGACTGGGGTTAAACCCTGGAGAACCATTGCATAGACCAGGAGATAGAGCACCTGCTGGCTCAGTCAGTAAAGGGAGGGGTAACCAATGGAAGATAAAAATATAAGAATAAGTTTAAAGAGAGAAACAACACATGACCCTCAACATAATTACTGATATAATGTGTCTTATCATGATTTCTGTGAAAGATTTTCATAGTTTAATAGAAACGGGTTGGCTTAAACATTTTTTCCTTGTTTTTCTCTACTAGATATGCCAAGTGATATATTCATCGCCATCCCGAAATCCTGGGGCCACACTGACTTTGCGGCAGTACAGCTTTTCAATAGACTGCACATATTTGATTTAGGCAAATAAATAAATATTGATTTAATATATTAGTTACATAGTTACATTGTTACATAGTTACGTAGCTGAAAAGAGACTTGCGTCCATCAAGTTCAGCCTTCCTCACAAATGTTGTTGCTGTTGATCCAAAAGAAGGCAAAAAACCTGGTCTGAAGCACTTCCAATTTTGCCACAAACTAGGAAAAAATTCCTTCTTGACCCCAAAATAGCAGTCAAATGTCTCCTTGGATCAAGCAGCTATTACCCCACTAATTAGAAATTATATCCCTGTATGTTATGTTTTTGTAAGTATTTATCCAATTTCAGTTTAAACATCTGTATGGACTCTGACAAAACCACCTCTTCAGGCAGAGAATTCCATATCCTTATTGTTCTTACTGTAAAAAAACCTTTTCTTTGCCTTAGATGAAATCTCCTTTCTTCCAGCCTAAATGTGTGACCTCGTGTCCTATGTATAGCCCTGTTTATGAATAGATTTCCAGATAAAGGTTTGTACTGGCCCCGAATATATTTGTATAAAGTTATCATATCCCCTCTCAGGCGCCGTTTTTCCAAACTAAACAGATTAAATTTTTTTAACCTTTCTTCATAACTAAAATGCTCCATTCCTTTTATCAATTTTGTAGCTCGTCTCTGGACCCTCTCTAGTGCCATGATATCCTTCTTTAGAACAGGCGCCCAAAATTGCACAGCATATTCAAGGTGTGGTCTTACCAGTGATTTATAAAGAGGCAAAATTATATTTGCATCCCGAGAATTTATGCCCCTATTTATACATGACAAAATCTTACTGGCCTTAGCAACTGCAGATTGACATTGCATATTGCTGCCTAATTTATTGTCTATAACAATTCCCAAATCCTTCTCGTGTGTGGTTATCCCTAATTCACTACTATTTAGTGTGTAAGTTGCTTGTGCATTCTTAACCCCAAAGTGCATAACTTTGCATTTCTCTATGTTAAATTTCATCTGCCATTTTAGTGCCCAGTCCCCCAATCTATCCAAATCTCTATGCAGCAAAGCAATATCCTGCTCACATTTTATTACTTTACAAAGTTTTGTGACATCTGCAAACACTGATACATGGCTTTCAATGCCTATTTCAAGATCATTTATAAATATGTTAAATAGAAGTGGTCCCAAAACAGAACCCTGAGGGACACCACTTACCACTTTTGTCCAGCCTGAAAATTTACCATTAATTACAACTCGTTGTACTCTATCCTTAAGCCAATGTTCTACCCAAGAACAAGAATATTCATCTAGACCAATTTCTTTTAGTTTGAAGACTAACCTATTGTGAGGAACGTATCAAATGCCTTGGAAAAATCCAAGTAGATCACATCCACTGCAACACCCTGATCTATACTTCTACTTACTTCTTCGTAGAATGCAATTAGGTTAGTTTGACATGACCTATGTTTCATAAAACCATGCTGATTATTGCTAATAACAAAGTTCTTCCCAATGAATTCCTGAATATTATCCCTTAATAGCCCTTCAAATATTTTCCCAGTTACAGAAGTTAAGCTCACAGGTCTATAATTTCCAGGCAAGGATTTTGAACCCTTTTTAAATATAGGAACAACATCTGCCTTCCTCCAATCCTCCGGTACAACACCTGAAACAAAAGAATCTTGAAAAATTAAATACAGAGGTTCACTTATTTCCCCACTTAGCTCCTTAAGTACTCGTGGGTGAATACAGTCAGGCCCCGGAGCTTTATTTACATTAATTTTCTTTAATAGCTGTAGCACCTTGTCTCGAGTTATCCAATCACAAGTTATTTGCAAGTTTTTTGCAGCAATCATTTGCATATCTCTTGCCATAGGATCCTCATTAATATATACTGAAGAAAAATAGTTATTTAAAATTTCTGCTTTTTCCTGGTCTTCATTAGCTAATAAACCCAACTCTGTTTCAAGTGTACCTACACTTTCATTTTTTGTTTTTTTAGAATTTATGTACTTTAAAAGTTTTTGGGCGTTGGTTTTGCATTCTTTAGCTATCAATTTCTCATTTTCTAGTTTAGCCACTTTAATTGCCTTTTTGCAAGCGTTATTGGCTTCCTTATATCTTAAATAGGATGCATTTGATTTGTCTGATTTAAATGCTTTAAATGCCCTTTTCTTATTTTTAATCTCTTGTTTTACTTCTCTACTAAGCCACATTGGTTTTAATTTGTTTCTTTTATATTTATTACCCAATGGTACATACTGAGTAATGTACTTTTCTAATATTTGTTTGAATAGTTTCCATTTATCCTCAGTGTTTTTATCACTAAGGAGTTTATGCCAGTCGATATGTTGTAGAGCTGCCCTAATCTTATTGAAATTGGCTTTTTTTAAATTATATGTTTTAGTATACCCCACTTGCTTTTGCTTTTTTGAGTTTATTTCAAAATTTACCATATTGTGATCACTATATCCCAAATGCTCCCCTACTTGAATGTTGTTTAAAAGATCAACATTGTTTGTTATGACAACATCCAGACAAGCATCCTTTCTAGTTGGTGCTTGTACCAGTTGTGACATAAAGGTGTCATTTAACACATTCAAAAACCTGATTCCCCTTGCTGAAGTACTAGTCCCTCTTTTCCAATTTATGTCTGGATAATTAAAATCTCCAATAATTAACGTGTTACCTCGATTTGCAGCTTTCTCAATTTGCTCTAACAGCTGTTCTTCCTCAATAATATTTACATTAGGTGGTTTATAACATATCCCAACCAATAATTGATTTCCCTTTGTTTGCCCCAAGCAGATATCTACCGATAAAGCCTCCACCTTTTCCTCGTCACATTCCACATGCCTAAGATTTGACTTCAACTCATGGTTGACATATAAACATACCCCACCACCCTTCTTGTTTTTCCTATCCTTCCTAAATAACGTGTACCCATTTAAATTAACTGCCCAGTCATGTGTCTCATCCCACCATGTTTCTGTTATGCCTATTATATCATATTGTTTAGTGTATGCTATTGCCTCTAGTTCCCCCATTTCGTTATATAGGCTCTTTTCATTATTAAGCATACGTTTAATATTATCATGAGTCTTTTGTACTTTTTGTGAATTATCAATATTACATACCTCCTCTGTGCTGAGCTTTCCTGAGCTTTCCCCTCCCCCCATCTCCACCAGGGGCGGGCTGGGCCGGGGGGCAGGGAGGCAATTGCCCCCCAGGCCGCCCTAAATTCCTGTAAGGCCGGCCGCGGCGGGCCAGCCCTTTAAATACTGCAGCCGCCTGAGCGCTCTGTTAAGAGCCTCAGGCGGCTGCAGCTTCTCCCCTCCCCTCCCCTCCCCTGTAGCGTGGCCGAGCTGCACTCCGGTCCGCGGTGGCCGACCAACCGGCCGGGTGATAAGTGCACACTGGTGTACTTCCCTCTCCAATCCGGTTACAGCTGAAACTCTATTTCACGCCGGGTTCTGTTGTTTCCTGTTCCACCGACCGAACTGACAGGCACTGGTGTGCACCTTCCTATCCTCAACCGGAGGAAGTAAGAAAGGAGGAGTAGAAGGAGGGAGATAAGAAAAAGGGGCCAAGAAGAAGAAGGGGTGAGTAAGAAAAGATAGGTAAGAAGAAGAAGGAGGGGTGAAGAAGGAGGGAGTATTAAGAAAAAGGAGATAAGAAAAGAAGAGGGGAGTAAGAAGAGGGAGAGGAATAAGAAAAGGGGAAGGCCCGGAGTAGAGGAGGGGAATAAGAAAAGGGGGTAGGGAGTAAGAAGGAGGGAGATACGAAAAAAAGAAATTTAGAAGAAGCGGGTAGGTAAGCAAAAGAGTGGGGAGTAGAAGAAAAGAAGAGTAGGGAGTAAGAAGAAGAAGAGGGGGTAAGAAGAAGGGTGAGTATGAAGAAATGGGGGGAGTAAGAAGAAGAAGGGGGAGGAAGAGGAAGAAGAAGAAGGGGGGGTAAGAAGAAGAAGGGGGAGCAATAAGAAGAAGGGGGGTTAAGAAGAACAGGTGGGGGAGTAAGACGACCAAGGGGGGAAGTATGAAGAACACAGGGAGGAGGGGGGTAAGACGAACACAGGGGGTGTGAGGAGAACACATAGAGGGAGGAGTGAGAAGAGCACAGGGAGGGTGGGTGAGTGTGAGAAGAGACCGCTAGGGGAGGGTGGGGGAGAGGAGAGACCACTAAGGTGCAGGGGAGAGCTCTACGGGACAGAAGGGGCAGCTCTATAGGACAGGGGCCAAGACAGGGAGCTCTTTCACACTACGCGCGCGCACACACACACAATGCATCCCTATACATACACAGAAACACAACATGCTTCCCTTACACACAGAGAAACACACAATGCATCCATTACACACACACACACAATGCAACCCTTACACACAAAGACAATGCATCCTTTGCACACATACACAGAAACAGACAATACAAACCCGTACACACATATGCAAACACACACACTTCTTTTCTTACATACACACAGAAACACAATGCATCTCTTACACTCAATGCACACACATACAGACACACACCTTGCATCCCTTATGCATACAAACACAGATTCACACAATGCATCCCTTACACACAACCAGAAACACATAATACATCCCTTATACACAAATACACACTGCTTCCACTACACACAAACACACTACATCACCTGCACAAACTGGTAACCCTATACACTACATACCATAAGCACACATATTAGATCCTCTACAATAACACATAACACATCCCCTACACACTCCACTCCCTGTGAGCGAACTCATGGGTGGGTGGAACTTATGAGTGGGCCTTATGGGCATACTCACCGTCAGGCCCTGGGGCCCAGACCTTGAGCTGTGTAAGGGGCCCCAAAAAATGGAGCTGCTTCCAATTCTCCCAGAACATTGAATTTTGTGACCACAGCTGCAAACAGCCTCCAGAGATCCTGTTCTACACCAGACCAGTGGAGCCAAACTGCAGCCCATCATCATCCTCATCTGCTTGTAAGTAGGCAAGCTAGTATATTATTAGTGACACTAATCTATAATGTACCTCACA